GGTGCTCGCCTCCGTCATCAGGTGCTCGCCTCCGTCATCAGGTGCTCGCCTCCGTCATCAGGTGCTCGCCTCCATCAGCAGGTGCTCGCCTCCGTCATCAGGTGCTCGCCTCCGTCATCAGGTGCTCGCCTCGGTCATCAGGTGCTCGCCTCCGTCATCAGGTCCTCGCCTCCGTCATCAGGTGCTCGCCTCCGTCATCAGGTGCTCGCCTCCGTCATCAGGTGCTCGCCTCCGTTATCACGTGCTCGCCTCCGTCATCAGGTGCCCGCCTCCGTCATCAGGTGCTCGCCTCCGTCATCAGGTGCTCGCCTCCGTCATCAGGTGCTCGCCTCCGTCATCAGGTGCTCGCCGGTCATCAGGTGCTCGCCTCCGTCATCACGTGCTCGCCTCCGTCATCAGGTGCTCGCCTCGGTCATCAGGTGCTCGCCTCCGTCATCAGGTGCTCGCCTCCATCAGCAGGTGCTCGCCTCCGTCATCAGGTGCTCGCCTCCGTCGGTGCTCGCCTCGGTCATCAGGTGCTCGCCTCCGTCATCAGGTGCTCGCCTCCGTCATCAGGTGCTCGCCTCCGTCATCAGGTGCTCGCCTCCGTCATCAGGTGCTCGCCTCCGTCATCAGGTGCTCGCCTCCGTCATCTGGTGCTCGCCTTCGTCATCAGGTGCTCGCCTCCGTCATCAGGTGCTCTCCTCTGTCATCAGGTGCTCGCCTTCGTCATCAGGTGCTCGCCTCCGTCATCAAGTGCTCGCCTCCGTCATCAGGTGCTCGCCTCCGTCATCAGGTGCTCGCCTCCGTCATCGAGTGCTCGCCTCCGTCATCGAGTGCTCGCCTCCGTCATCGAGTGCTCGCCTCCGTCATCGAGTGCTCGCCTCCGCCATCAGGTGCTCGCCTCCGTCATCAGGTGCTCGCCTCCGTCATCAGGTGCTCGCCTCCGTTATCACGTGCTCGCCTCCGTCATCAGGTGCTCGCCTCCGTCATCAGGTGCTCGCCTCCGTCATCAGGTGCTCTCCTCTGTCATCAGGTGCTCGCCTCTGTCATCAGGTGCTCGCCTCCGTCATCAGGTGCTCGCCTCCGTCATCAGGTGCTCGCCTCCGTCATCAGGTGCTCGCCTCCGCCATCAGGTGCTCCCCTCCGTCATCAGGTGCTCGCCTCCGTCATCAGGTGCTCGCCTCCGTCATCAGGTGCTCGCCTCCGTCATCAGGTGCTCGCCTCGGTCAGCAGGTGATCGCCTCCGTCATCAGGTGCTCGCCTCCGCCATCAGGTGCTCGCCTCCGCCATCAGGTGCTCGCCTCCGTCATCAGGTGCTCGCCTCCGTCATCAGGTGCTCGCCTCGGTCATCAGGTGCTCGCCTCGGTCATCAGGTGCTCGCCTCCGTCATCAGGTGCTCGCCTCCGTCATCAGGTGCTCGCCTCCGTCATCAGGTGCTCGCCTCCGTCATCAGGTGCTCGCCTCCGTCATCAGGTGCTCGCCTCCGTCATCAGGTGCTCGCCTCCGTCATCAGGTGCTCGCCTCCGTCATCAGGTGCTCGCCTCCGTCATCAGGTGCTCGCCTCCATCAGCAGGTGCTCGCCTCCGTCATCAGGTGCTCGCCTCCGTCATCAGGTGCTCGCCTCGGTCATCAGGTGCTCGCCTCCGTCATCAGGTGCTCGCCTCCGTCATCAGGTGCTCGCCTCCGTCATCAGGTGCTCGCCTCCGTCATCAGGTGCTCGCCTCCGTTATCACGTGCTCGCCTCCGTCATCAGGTGCCCGCCTCCGTCATCAGGTGCTCGCCTCCGTCATCAGGTGCTCGCCTCCGTCATCAGGTGCTCGCCTCTGTCATCATGTGCTCGCCGGTCATCAGGTGCTCGCCTCCGTCATCACGTGCTCGCCTCCGTCATCAGGTGCTCGCCTCGGTCATCAGGTGCTCGCCTCCGTCATCAGGTGCTCGCCTCCATCAGCAGGTGCTCGCCTCCGTCATCAGGTGCTCGCCTCCGTCGGTGCTCGCCTCGGTCATCAGGTGCTCGCCTCCGTCATCAGGTGCTCGCCTCCGTCATCAGGTGCTCGCCTCCGTCATCAGGTGCTCGCCTCCGTCATCAGGTGCTCGCCTCCGTCATCAGGTGCTCGCCTCCGTCATCAGGTGATCGCCTCCGTCATCAGGTGCTCGCCTCCGCCATCAGGTGCTCGCCTCCGCCATCAGGTGCTCGCCTCCGTCATCAGGTGCTCGCCTCCGTCATCAGGTGCTCGCCTCGGTCATCAGGTGCTCGCCTCCGTCATCAGGTGCTCGCCTCCGTCATCAGGTGCTCGCCTCCGTCATCAGGTGCTCGCCTCCGTCATCAGGTGCTCGCCTCCGTCATCAGGTGCTCGCCTCCGTCATCTGGTGCTCGCCTTCGTCATCAGGTGCTCGCCTCCGTCATCAGGTGCTCTCCTCTGTCATCAGGTGCTCGCCTTCGTCATCAGGTGCTCGCCTCCGTCATCAAGTGCTCGCCTCTGTCATCAGGTGCTCGCCTCCGTCATCAGGTGCTCGCCTCCGTCATCACGTGCTCGCCTCCGTCATCAGGTGCTCGCCTCCGTCATCAGGTGCTCGCCTCCATCAGCAGGTGCTCGCCTCCGTCATCAGGTGCTCGCCTCCGTCGGTGCTCGCCTCGGTCATCAGGTGCTCGCCTCCGTCATCAGGTGCTCGCCTCCGTCATCAGGTGCTCGCCTCCGTCATCAGGTGCTCGCCTCCGTCATCAGGTGCTCGCCTCCGTCATCAGGTGCTCGCCTCCGTCATCAGGTGATCGCCTCCGTCATCAGGTGCTCGCCTCCGCCATCAGGTGCTCGCCTCCGCCATCAGGTGCTCGCCTCCGTCATCAGGTGCTCGCCTCCGTCATCAGGTGCTCGCCTCGGTCATCAGGTGCTCGCCTCCGTCATCAGGTGCTCGCCTCCGTCATCAGGTGCTCGCCTCCGTCATCAGGTGCTCGCCTCCGTCATCAGGTGCTCGCCTCCGTCATCAGGTGCTCGCCTCCGTCATCTGGTGCTCGCCTTCGTCATCAGGTGCTCGCCTCCGTCATCAGGTGCTCTCCTCTGTCATCAGGTGCTCGCCTTCGTCATCAGGTGCTCGCCTCCGTCATCAAGTGCTCGCCTCTGTCATCAGGTGCTCGCCTCCGTCATCAGGTGCTCGCCTCCGTCATCACGTGCTCGCCTCCGTCATCAGGTGCTCGCCTCCATCATCAGGTGCTCGCCTCCGTCATCAGGTGGTCTCCTCCGTCATCAGGTGCTCGCCTCGGTCATCAGGTGATCGCCTCCGTCATCAGGTGCTCGCCTCCGCCATCAGATGCTCCCCTCCGTCATCAGGTGCTCGCCTCCGTCATCAGGTGCTCGCCTCCGTCATCAGGTTCTCGCCTCCGTCATCAGGTGCTCGCCTCCGTCATCAGGTGCTCGCCTCCGTCATCAGGTGCTCGCCTCCGCTATCAGGTGCTCGCCTCCGTCATCAGGTTCTCGCCTCCGTCATCAGGTGCTCGCCTCCGTCATCAGGTGCTCGCCTCCGTCATCAGGTGCTCGCCTCGGTCATCAGGTGCTCGCCTTCGTCATCAGGTGCTCGCCTCCGTCATCAGGTGCTCGCCTCCGTCATCAGGTGCTCGCCTCGGTCATGAGGTGCTCGCCGGTCATCAGGTGCTCGCCTCCGTCATCACGTGCTCGCCTCCGTCATCAGGTGCTCGCCTCGGTCATCAGGTGCTAGCCTCCGTCATCAGGTGCTCGCCTCGGTCATCAGGTGCTCGCCTCCGTCATCAGGTGCTCGCCTCCATCAGCAGGTGCTCGCCTCCGTCATCAGGTGCTCGCCTCCGTCATCAGGTGCTCGCCTCCGTCATCAGGTGCTCGCCTCCGTCATCAGGTGCTCGCCTCCGTCATGAGGTGCTCGCCTCCGTCATCAGGTGCTCGCCTCCGTCATCAGGTGCTCGCCTCCGTCATCAGGTGCTCACCTCCGTCATCAGGTGCTCGCCTCGGTCATCAGGTGCTCGCCTCCGTCATCAGGTGCTCGCCTCCGCCATCAGGTGCTCGCCTCCGTCATCAGGTGCTCGCCTCCGTCATGAGGTGCTCGCCGGTCATCAGGTGCTCGCCTCCGTCATCACGTGCTCGCCTCCGTCATCAGGTGCTCGCCTCGGTCATCAGGTGCTAGCCTCCGTCATCAGGTGCTCGCCTCGGTCATCAGGTGCTCGCCTCCGTCATCAGGTGCTCGCCTCCATCAGCAGGTGCTCGCCTCCGTCATCAGGTGCTCGCCTCCGTCATCAGGTGCTCGCCTCCGTCATCAGGTGCTCGCCTCCGTCATCAGGTGCTCGCCTCCGTCATCAGGTGCTCGCCTCCGTCATCAGGTGCTCGCCTCCGTCATCAGGTGCTCGCCTCCGTCATCAGGTGCTCACCTCCGTCATCAGGTGCTCGCCTCGGTCATCAGGTGATCGCCTCCGTCATCAGGTGCTCGCCTCCGCCATCAGGTGCTCGCCTCCGTCATCAGGTGCTCGCCTCCGTCATCAGGTGCTCTCCTCCGTCATCAGGTGCTCGCCTCCGTCATCAGGTGCTCGCCTCCGTCATCAGGTGCTCGCCTCGGTCATCAGGTGCTCGCCTCCGTCATCAGGTGCTCTCCTCCGTCATCAGGTGCTCGCCTCCGTCATCAGGTGCTCGCCTCCGTCATCATGTGCTCGCCTCCGTCATCAGGTGCTCGCCTCGGTCATTAGGTGCTCGCCTCCGTCATCAGGTGCTCGCCTCCGTCATCAGGTGCTCTCCTCCGTCATCAGGTGCTCGCCTCCTTCATCAGGTGCTCGCCTCCATCATCAGGTGCTCGCCTCGGTCATCAGGTGCTCGTCTCCGTCATCAGGTGCTCTCCTCCGTCATGAGGTGCTCGCCTCCGTCATCAGGTGCTCTCCTCTGTCATCAGGTGCTCGCCTCGTCATCAGGTGACCTGCTGGTACTGCGCTAAGTCGAACCCCTTCCCCGCCATCGCTCCTTCGCACCCCTTGCCCCACGGACCCTCTCCGTCTCTCTGGGGGAGGGCAGGTTCCAGGTGCCGTGTGACGAGCGCAGCATGGGGGGAGCGCCGCTGCAGCAGTTTGCATGTGGGTGGAGCAGCATGGAGACGCTCGCCAGGCACAACCTCGTTGTCAAGACCGCCCACCCGCCCAGGTCACCTCACTCGCTCTGCCCCCCCCCTTCGCCCCCCATCACCTGCTGCTCTTGCACGTGTGCTTGCGTGCTGCACTCGTGGCAGCAGCCTGTGCTCCTCGCACCCTAACCTGCCCATCCCACCCCTTCCTCCCACCCACCTCGTCCCCCCTTCCCCCCCACCTCGTCCCCCCGGGCAGCTATGTGCTGTCGGAGGAGGGCCATGCCGTGGCCGTGGACTGCCTCCGCCGCTCCAAGATGCCGCTGCCCCCCGCTGCTGCCGCTGCACTGCCAGGTGCTCATGTGCTGCCAGGTGAGTATGTGCTGCCAGGTGAGTATGTGCTGCCAGGTGAGTATGTGCTGCCAGGTGAGTATGTGCTGCCAGGTGCTGCACGTTCAACACGCCCCGCCCACTATCTCTCCTTTCTCCATGGCAACCATTCTGCTCTCTCTCTCTCCCTCTCTCTCTCTCCTCTCCTAGCCTCGCCTCCCCTCCTTCCCCCTTCCCACCGTCCTTGTTGCCATGCACGCGGGCACGGCTGGAGGGCAGCAGCGACGGCGGACAGCGGAGGGGCAGCGGCAGGCAGCGGAGGGGCAGCGGCGGTGGGCAGACAGGTGCGCTTGATCCTAGCCAAGCCTTTCATGCCTCCTCGCTGACGTCATACCATGTGCTTGCTGACGTCGTAGCATGTCCTCGCTGGCATCATGGCATGTCCTCGCAGGCGCAGGTGGTGACAGCATGGCATGTCATGCTCACGTACCCTCGTGCATGTCACACCTAACCGTGTGTCATGCCAACCCATCTATTTGCACATTTATGCGGACCTGATTAAGGACGTTGCGAAGCCCTGCTGCAATCCCACCTTTCCGCAGAACCCATCTTCCAAATCCCGCTGTCCTTCGCACTGCCATGCTTCGCACTGCCATGCTTCGCACTGCCATGCTTCGCACTGCCATGCTTCGCGCCTATTCTAATCAGCATCTTGCTACGAGCCATGCACGTGAGAGAGGGACCACAGCATCCCTTCATCATGTACGGACAAGCGTGCACCTCCTTCCCCTCTCTCTGCTTCCCATGCCCTTCTGCCCCTGCCCGCCCCCCTGCACCCCCCCACACGCGCCCCCCACGCCCAACACGCCCCTGCACCCCTCTGGATCGCTCTCCACCTCTCTGCGTGCCACGGGTGGCAGCCAGTGCAGTGGTCCGCACAGATGCTCAACGACCCCTTTGCCATGCTCGACCTGCCAGGTGACCTCACCTCCCAGGTGACCACCCAGGTGACTAGCCGGGTGGCTCTGGCTCATGTGTCTTTCCTCCCTTCTGCGGTCCCCTCTTCCCTTCTCTCTCTCCCTTCCCCCTGTCGTTTCCCCCTCTTGCTCCTCATCCCCTCATCCCTCTCATGCCACTCCCCTCTTCACGTCTCCACCTCCTTGCACACAACAGCAACCACACCGTACCACTCCACACCGTACCACTCCACACCATACCACTCCACACCGCACCACTCCACACCGCACCACTCCACACCGCACCACTCCACACCACAGCACTCCTCCGTGCTGCCACTGGCCCTCCCTGCCTGCCCTTCCCTCCATCCCTTCCGCCCTCACTCCCCCCTCTCGCTCGTCCCCCTGCTCCTTCCCTTCCCCACCCGGGCAGGCAGCAGCGGGGTGGAGGGCGAGGAGGAGTGGCAGGTGCCGCCGCTGGCAGCGGGGGAGTGCTTTTCAGATGCATATGACGTCATCATCTTCATTGACAACCGCGACAGCGAGTGAGGGCTGGTGGTGGCCATGGTGGCGCACTGTGCATGGTGGATGGCGGATGGTGCATGCTGAATGGGGAAGGATGGGTCGCACATGGAAGGATGGGTCACACCCACGGCCATGCCTCACCACCCATCGCCATGCCTCACCACCCATCGCCATGCCTCGCCATACCCCTCCTCCCTGTCTGTGTGAGAAAACGTGAGGAAGAACCATTGGTTTGATTAGGAAGTATGGGGGTATACATAGTAGTGCTAGGATGGGTGGTTTGGTTGGGAACCTAGCCAACATTATTGGCCCCCACCAATAAGTTGGGTTGAGGGATTATTGGGGGGACCAATAATGTTGACCAAGTGGTTCAACATTATTGGGAGGACCAATAATTTCCAACCCAACCTTGGGGGCCAAGGTTTGAGTTCCAACCCCCAACTAGGGTTAGCCCTAGTTCTACACCCAAACTAAGTTTGGGTGGCTATCTCTATCCTACGCTTATAGGATTGATGTAGGTTACAATGAGGATGGCAATCTGACACAACCCTTTAACCTACAGAAATCCATAAGCGTGGGAAGAGAGAGAACAACAACCCCTGAATCAGCCACCGCGGGGAGCAAGTCCCTGGAGACGCAGAAGTGCAGAGTGGTCAGAGCGGTGGAGAGCCTTGGTGAAGAGATCGGCGAGGTTGTCGGAGGAGGCGATTTTGCGAACGATGATGTGACCATCTTGGACAAGGTCGCGAACGAAGTAGTAGCGAAGCTCGATGTGTTTGGAGCGACCATGAAAGACGGCTTCCTTGGTGAGGTGAATGGTACTGTCGTTGTCACACCACAGGGTGGGGCATGGCTGTGGGGAGCCAAGGTCGGTGAGCAGATAGCTGACCCAACGTGCCTCTTGAGTCGCCATTGTGACCGCGCATAGTTCGGCTTTGCAGGATGAGAGGGCGACGGAGGAGGAGCGGGTGGAGCGCCAGCTGATGAGGCCGCTCCCGAGTGTGAAGCCATATCCTTGGGAGCTGCGACGGTCGGGTTGTGCATCGGCCCAGGATGAATCGCTGAAGCCGTGAAGAATGGGTGGGTTCACACCACCAAGGGTGAGGACATGGTCCTTCGTGCCTTGAAGATAGCGAATAACACGCATGGCCGCCTTCCAATGCTCGTCACCATTCCGGCCGGTGCCAACGAACTGCGCCAGAACACTGACTGGGTATGCAAGGTCGGGACGAGTGCAGACCATGGCGTACATCAGGGCCCCAACAAGTTCTGCATAGGGATGAGGGGAGGTGACGGGAGTGGTGGGAGGGGAGAGCCGATGCCCAAATGCAAGTGGTGTGAAGATGGGTTTTGATCTGGACATACCAAACCTCTCAAGAATCTTCTCGATGTAAAAAGACTGAGAGAGGGTGATGGTCTTGGCAGTGAGGTCGCGGGTGATCTCCATGCCGAGGTAGTTGCGGACCTCCCCCAGGTCTTTGCAGGCGAGGCGTTTCTGCAGCTCATTCTTGACCTCCTGGAGTTCAGCAGTTGTGTCAGCGGCCAGCAGCATGTCGTCGACGTAGACGAGGATGTAGAAGGGTGATGGGGTCAGGCGGAGGAAGAGGCAAGAGGCGGCACGGGAGGGGCGAAAGCCAAGTGCGCGAAGGGTGGAGGAGAGTTTGGCGTGCCATTCCCGAGGTGCTTGTTCGAGCCCGTAGACAGGGCGTAGCAGCTTCCAAACAGTGGCAGGGTCGTGAGGAGCGTGGAAGCCTTTGGGACGTTCTAGAAAAATGAGCTCATGAAGGTCGCCTTGCAGAAAGGCGGTGGTGACGTCCATGGAGTGAAGGAGCATCCCGCGTCTGCCAACAAAGTCCAAGAACACGCGAATGACCGGCGGGGTGGCGGTGGGTGAGTAGGTCTCGAAGAAGTCTGAGCCATAGGTCTGTGTAAAGGCTTTTACCACATATCGAGCCTTGTAGACCGGAGCGTTGCCAGGGAGCAGTTTCACTCGGAAGAGCCACCTGCCTTTGACCACGTTGTGCTTAGAGGGACGAGGAACGTCGAGAAAGGAGCGATTGCTGATGAAGGCGTTGCTCTCCTTGACCATGGCCTCGATCCAGAGAGGTGCGTCAAGACAAGCAAGTGCTTGCTCATAGGTGGTGGGTTCGTAGATGGTGGGGGTGGTGGAGAAGAGAAGGACAGTAGTGCCAGCCATTGTGCGGATGACGGGGGCGATGGTGGGCGAGAGGAGATGGAGGAAAAGAAGCTCATCGCGAGAGTCTTCAGAGAGGTCCGGAGAGAGCGGAGGAGGAAAAGGGGGCGGTGGAGTTGCAAGACAGCTGCGCTGGAGGGTTGGGCCGATGCGGGGACACAGTTGCACTGGTGCTCTGCTGCGCTGAGGGTCGGGGCGGGGAGACAGCTGCATTGCAGCTCGGCTTCGCTGAGGTGCCGTGAGGGGCAAGGAGACGGGAGCGCGAATTCTAAGAGAACCTGAGGGGCTGGTGCGGGGGAGAGGGGAGGTGCTATGGTGGCGGAGAAGGGGGATAGATGTGAGAGAGTGGAGGGAGGGGGGGGTGGACCTTGGGGTACCAAGAACGGGGACCGTGGAGCGGGTGTGAGGGTAGTGGCGGAGTATGAGAGGGGGAGTGGGAAGTAGGGGACGGGAGTATGGTGGAGTGAGTGGGGGAGGGCGTGGGGAGGGGGGAGGTGGGGGATGTTGTGCATGGAGGGAGGGAGGGGAAGGAGGGGGAGGGGGTGGGGAGGGATGGGGAGGGGCAGCGGGTGGGGAGGGAGGGGGAGGGGCAGCGAGTGGGGAGGGAGGGTGGACGGGGTCAAGGATGTCTCCTGATGAGGAGGGGGGAGGGGGTGGGGGTGCAGGGGGGACAATGGTGGGGGGGGGAGAAGGGAAGGGGAGGGGAGAGGGGGTGGGAGGGGAATGGTGTCAGTCCAGAGGAGGGGACGGGTGGTTAGAGGGAGGGGGTTAGGGACTTTGGGGGAGGTGTAGTACGGGTGGGCTTCATCGAACTCTACATCCCGACTACGAATGAGGCGACCTAAGGGGGGATGGAGGAAGAGATAGTCTGGGGAGGAGGTGAGGGGATGGGAAGAGGGGAGGGAGGGGGGAGGGGAGGTGAGGGGAGGGGAGGGGAGGGAAGGGGGAGGGGAGATGAGGGAAGGGGAGGGGGTGAGGTGGGGGCGATGAGGTGGTGAATGGAGGTGCGAGGGGTGCGGTATGTGTACAGGTTTGTGTGAGGGCAGAGGGGAATGCGACAGATGAAGTGGCCAGTGGTGGTGTGAAAGAGGTCGCAGTGGCGTGCATGACCGGGGAAGAGGGCGGTGATACCGAACCTGGTGAGGTCACATAATGCAACAAGATTGTTGCGTAGGGAGGGGATGTATAGACCTGTGACTGTACCGGAGGGGAAGATGGGACACGGGAGGGTGGAGGTGTGTCGACTGGTGAAGCTGGAGTCAGCTCCGTGTATAGTGGAGGGAGTGTGGAGAGGTACCAGTGTGCCTGCATCCCGGAGGACAGTGTGTGTGGCTCCACTGTCAAGGATAAACTCAAGGCAGGAAGAGGAGGAGGAAAAGGCAGAGTACTGGAAGAGTGACTCATTAATAGCATGGGCATACAGAGAATCAGCAGGAGCAGTGCTAACATGTCCTATGAATCCAGCAGAGGGGAATGGAGTAAAGCCGGGAGGGTTGGAATAGGAGGAGGGCTGTTCAGCAAGATTAGCAGCAGGTGCAGTAGGTCCATGACCATATCCAAGTGGTGGGTAAGGAGGGTAAGGCCAGCCAGCATAAGGTGGAGGGTAGTGAAGGGGAGAAGCATGAGGCGGAGGTGTGGGTGGAGGAGGAGTGGGAGTGGGGGTGGATGAGGGGAGGAGATGTTGGACTTGGTGAAGGATGTGAGATGGGAGATGTTGAGTGAGGATATTGTGGAGGTTGGGGGTGGAGGGTTGATAGGCGGGGAGAGTGCGGATGTCATGGGGAGAGGGGTGTGGGAAAACAGTGTTCCAGCGAGGTGGGGTGCCAACATTGCCACGGTCAAACCATTCGTCAGTGAGGGCTTTGTAGCATGTGTCAATGGTATGAGTGGTCTGTGAGCATGGCTGACCTTTGTTGGAGCCATAGCGAATGATGTACTGACACGGGGGGAGGGTGCCCGTGCATGGGGGGTGTCTGCCTCGCCCACCACGGCCACCACCTCGGCCACCACCACGTCCTCCTCCTCGCCCACTACCACGTCCACCACCACCACTGCCGGTGCCACCTGGGCCGCCACCTCCTCCGCTGTTGTGGTCGCCTGTGGTAGCTTTGCGGGTCTGGACAGCATTGACAGTGGCAGAGTCACGTTGAATGTCTGCTTCGCTGTCAATTAGCCACAGGAGGAGGATGACGGTAGCGGGAGGTGAAGGTGATGCGGTAGGTGTCATATGTGGGAGGGAGGCAGTCGAGGATGCGTGCAGTGAGAAGGGACTCAGAGATGACAATGCCTCGATCATTGAGGCGTTGTGCAGTGTCAATGAGGCGACGGGTGTAGGCCGCAGCAGTGGGGGAGGAGTCAAGGGTGATGTCTTGGAATTTGCGAAAGAGTGCGAGAAGGGAGCGAAGATCCTGACAATCGTACTGAGTAGATAGGGTTTTCCAGAGTCCAGAGGAGGAGGTGGGACGAAGGTCACGTTTGAGGTGAGAGGGTATGCAGGAGAAGATGATGGCGAGTGCACGACGATCCGCAACACGCCACGCTGCAACATCTTTGTAGAGCTTGCGAAGCTCCTCAGCATAGTCTTTCTCATCTTGAGCGTATGAGAGGATGCGTGCAGTGGCTGTAGCGTGTGCCTCTTCTGCAACACGGTACGCCTCACGCTGGAGGGTGTAGGTGTCGCGAAGCTTGCGAAGCTCCTCAGCATAGTCTTTCTCATCTTGAGCGTAGGAGAGGATGCGTGCAGTGGCTGTAGCGTGTGCCTCTTGCAACACGGTACGCCTCACGCTGGAGGGTGTAGGTGTCGCGAAGCTTGTTGTAGGCGTTCAGGTTGGCCCCCCAGCGATCCGGGTTGTCATCATGAACTGGGGCACGCGGGGGGTCGGGAAGAGGCTCGGGTGGAGGAGGGGCGTCAGGGGGAGGAGGTTCAAGAGGAGGGGGGGAAACAGGTGGGAGGCCATTAGGGTGCTCGAGGACTACATCAAAAAGGCAGTAGTCTTGGATGATGACGGAGCCAAGGTGCGTGTGAAGTGTGTCTTCAAACGACGCCCAATTTACAGCCGTAGTGTCATGGAGAAGTTCGAGCTTGTCAATGGCTCCGAGCTCAAGAGGAGTAGAGTCGTCCGCCATGAGGAGAGGGGGAAAGGGGGGGGAGGGGGGGGGGACGACACCACCTGGAGAGGTGGTGCGGTCAAGGAGGGGGGACGACACCACCTGGAAGGGTGGTGCGGTCACGGTGCGTGCGGCTGCGCTGGGTCACCCGCGGCTGCGCTTTGTCACGTGTGACTGCGCCGTGTCGCCCGTAGCAGCGCTGTCCGTCCACGGCTGCGCCTTGGCGCCCGTGGCTGCACCGTGTCGCCCGTAGCAGCGCTGTCCGCCCTTGTCGCGGCGGTTTAGGCCACGACGAGCGCCCACGTTCGTCGTGGCGGATGCGCCCGTCCGCTGCTGTCGTGGCGAATGCGCCCGTCCGCGGTGGTCGCCTCCGCTGGTCGCGTCCGCAGCGGTCGCCTCCGCTGGTCGCGTCCGCGGCGGTCGCCTCCGCTGGTCGCGTCCGCGGCGGTCGCCTCCGCTGGTCGCGTCCGCGGCGGTCGCCTCCGCTGGTGGCGTCCGCGGCGGTCGCCTCCGCTGGTCGCGTCCGCGGCGGTCGCCTCCGCTGGTCGCGTCCGCGGCGGTCGCCTCCGCTGGTCGCGTCCGCGGCGGTCGCCTCCGCTGGTCGCGTCCGCGGCGGTCGCCTCCGCTGTCCGCGGCGGTAGCCCGCGTTCGTCGAGTCCGTGGCGGTCGCCCGCGTTCGTCGAGTCCGTGGCGGTCGCCCGCGTTCGTCGCGTCCGCGGCGGTCGCCCGCGTTCGTCGCGTTCGCGGCGGTAGCCCGCGTTCGTCAAGTCCGCGGCGGTCGCCCGCGTTCGTCGAGTCCGCGGCGGTCGCCCGCGTTCGTCGCCTCTGAGGCGGTCGCCCGCGTTCGTCGCGTCCGCGGCGGTCGCCCGCGTTCGTCGCGTCCGCGGCGGTCGCCCGCGTTCGTCGCGTTCGCGGCGGTCGCCCGTGGAACCCTAATCCGCGGCGGGCGCCCGCGTTTGTGGCGTTCGCGGCGGTCGCCCCCTATTAGGGTTTCGTCGGTCGCGGTAGTCGTTCCGACGGTTAGAGTGCTCGCGGGAGAGATGGGAGGGCTGTAAGTGGCGGAATTGACCTTAGGAAGGGGGGAGAGGTGCTGAAATTTAGCGCGGGGAGGGGGGCCGTGACGGCGTAGGAGCGCACTTGGCGCTAAGAGCGACCTAGTTGTCGCGTGAGGGAGGGGGGCGTGTTAAGGCACGCGGAGGTGTGATTCTTAGGATCGAAGAAGGTGTGAGCCGTGTTTGCTCTGATTACCATGTGAGAAAACGTGAGGAAGAACCATTGATTTGATTAGGAAGTATGGGGGTATACATAGTAGTGCTAGGATGGGTGGTTTGGTTGGGAACCTAGCCAACATTATTGGCCCCCACCAATAAGTTGGGTTGAGGGATTATTGGGGGGACCAATAATGTTGACCAAGTGGTTCAACATTATTGGGGGGACCAATAATTCCCAACCCAACCTTGGGGGCCAAGGTTTGAGTTCCAACCCCCAACTAGGGTTAGCCCTAGTTCTACACCAAAACTAAGTTTGGGTGGCTATCTCTATCCTACGCTTATAGGATTGATGTAGGTTACAATGAGGATGGCAATCTGACAGCCTGCCCCGCCTCCTCCCCTTGGTCCTCCCCCCCCACCAGGTGCCACGGGCCTGTGTTCGCCAGCCAGCTGTCGCAGCAGTTTGGGCTCGCCACTGAGGTGAGGGGCGAAGCAGGGCGGTGCCATGAGCATGGGGAGGGGTGGGCAGAGGGGCGGGCAGAGGGGCGGGCCGAGGGGCGGGCAGAGGGGCGGGGGTGGGGAAGGTGCTGGCAGAGCACGCCCATTGCACCCACACACCGCCCAATGCAGTGGCCGAGCGACAGACTGCCCAATCCAGTGGCCCCATCTTCTCTTTGCCTGCGCCCCTTTCTCCCCACCGTCACCCCTCCCTGCACCGCTGACTGCTTCTGCATCTGCCACCCTGTGTGCCCCTTCCCGTCCCACCGTACCACACTCACCTCCTCTGCCACTTTACACTCCCGTTCTCCCACCACTCTGAACTCCCTTTCACCGTTCTGCACCCTCCTTTCCACCACTCTGAACTCCTTTGCACCACGTCCCTCAGTTGCACTGCCATGAGGCATCAGGAGCGGCCGTGCATGTTGCAATGCCACCCGCGTGCCACATCCCTTCCGTTCCTCCCCGCCAACCCCCTCTGCTCCTCGCGCCAGGTGCACGCGCTGCCAGCGGGCGACGCCATGTGGGTGGCACGGCAGCGGGCGAGTGGGCGGGACTACGTGTTGGACTTCATAGTGGAGTTCACGCGCGCTCACGACCTCTGGATGGCCATCAAGTCCTCCCGCTTCCGCGACCAACGCCTGCGCCTCCAGGTCAGACCCATCACCCCAGGTCAGACCCATCACCCCAGGTCAGCCCTGCCATGCGCCTCCAGGTCAGCCCTGCCATGCGCCTCCAGGTTAGTGGGCATGTGCTTGCCGCCAGGTAAGCCCTGCGCCGCCAGGTCGGCCCTGTGCCTGCCAGGTCGGCCCTGTGCCTGCCAGGTCGGCCCTGTGCCTGCCACTGCAGGTTAGATTGCGATGGAAGGTGAGCGGGCGTCTCCGTGTGTTTGTTCTATGCTACCAGAAGGTTCACCTGATGTGCCTGCGGTTGGCGCACCAACTTGAGCTCAAAGGATTTGTGAAGCTTACACCTTCTTAGCACATCAAGAATGGGAAAGCATTCGGCCACTCTCTTCTGAGATTAGTGGAGTTGAAATCTCTCTTTCGGCTGCACGTCAAGGCAGAGCGCGTGGCTTTCACCTTCCTGCACGTCAAGGCAGAGCGCGTGGCTTTCACCTTCCTGCACGTCAAGGCAGAGCGCGTGGCTTTCACCTTCCTGCACGTCAAGGCAGAGCGCGTGGCTTTCACCTTCCTGCCATGCAATCATCTGCTCTGCCCCCGACTGCCTCTCTTCCTCTGCTGCCTCTCAGCGGTGCGGCGTGCGTCGTCTGTTGTGCCTCGTGGACGGCTCACTGGACGACCTCGTCGCCTCCGACCCCAACCGAGCTGCGTCAGTCCGCCCCCCCTCCCCTCCCCTCCCCTCCTGCTCCCACTTCCCCTCCCTCTCCTACTTTCAAGCCCCTTATCTCCCATTCAACCGCTCTCTGTCACTTTCCCATTCCTTCCTTATCACGTTCTCTCCCACGATCACTCTTTCTGCCTCTACAACCGCCTGCTTTGCATCACTCTCCATTCTTGTCTCTACTGTCAGCTGTGCGTCGTGTGTGCCATGTCACCCGTCACCCGGCAACCCCCCCTGGGCAGCATGATAGAGGCGGAGATGGAGGAGGGGGTGGACATACAGCAGACGGCATCGCTGCACGACACCAAGCAGCGCTACCTGGACATCACCACCGCGCTCGTCTGCCGCTACAACGACGCCGCCATAGCCCTGCAACGCCACCTGCAGCACCACGCGCACGCGGGCGGTGCTCCCCCCTCACCCCCTCCGCCCTGTCCGCTGTACGGCGAGTTCGTGGCAACGTGCCGCTCCGTGCAGTCCGACTCCGTCTGCAACCTCTTTGGCCACCTGCTGCTGCAGGTGCGCTGTGCTGGGGGGCATGGGGTGCTGCTGCTGACTGCGGTGGGGTGGGGGCGTGGTGCATGTGATAGACAGTGGTGTGGTGCTGGAGGTGGCAAGTGAGCGCATGCTGCCTGGATATCTAAGTGCACCACAACCAACCTCCTCCCCAGCTCTCTTACCTCAATTGCCCTCTCCTTTCACCCTCACCTCCCCCACCTCCCACGCCTGCTCCCCTCCCGCCCCCTGCCCCCCGCCACCTGGCTGCCCCACCAGGTGCGGTCAGTGTCGGTGGACACGGCCATCGCTGTGATGCGCCGCTTCCCCTCGCTCAGGGCGCTCGTCAACGCCTACCACCTCATGGTGCGTGCCTACCACCTCATGGTGCGTGCCTGCCACCTCATGGTGCGTGCCTGCCACCTCATGGTGCGTGCCTACCACCTCATGGTGCGTGCCTGCCACCTCATGGTGCGTGCCTACCACCTCATGGTGCGTGCCTGCCACCTCATGGTACGTGCCTGCCACCTCATGGTGCGTGCCTGCCACCTCATGGTGCATGCCTACCACCTCATGGTGCGTGCCTGCCACCTCATGGTGCATGCCTGCCACCTCATGGTGTGTGCCTACCACCTCATGGTGTGTGCCTGCCACCTCATGGTGTGTGCCTGCCACCTCATGGTGTGTGCCTGCCACCTCATGGTGTGTGCCTGCCACCTCATGGTGTGTGCCTGCCACCTCATGGTGTGTGCCTGCCACCTCATGGTGCGTGCTTGCCACCTCATGGTGCATGCCGGCCACCTCATGGTGCGTGCCTGCCACCTCATGGTACGTGCCTGCCACCTCATGGTGCGTGCCTGCCACCTCATGGTGCATGCCTACCACCTCATGGTGTGTGCCTACCACCTCATGGTGTGTGCCTGCCACCTCATGGTGTGTGCCTGCCACCTCATGGTGTGTGCCTGCCACCTCATGGTGTGTGCCTGCCACCTCATGGTGCGTGCCTGCCACCTCATGGTGCGTGCCTGCCACCTCATGGTGCGTGCCTACCACCTCATGGTGCGTGCCTGCCACCTCATGGTGCGTGCCTACCACCTCATGGTGCGTGCCTGCCACCTCATGGTACGTGCCTGCCACCTCATGGTGCGTGCCTGCCACCTCATGGTGGATGCCTACCACCTCATGGTGTGTGCCTACCACCTCATGGTGTGTGCCTGCCACCTCATGGTGTGTGCCTGCCACCTCATGGTGCGTGCCTGCCACCTCATGGTGTGTGCCAGCCCATTACTCCATCTCTCACAATACACCTCTTCGTGATTCTCTTTCCCTCGCACAACACCCACATTTCCCTCCGAGTCTCTCTCGCCCTACAACCTGAAATCTCGCTCTCCGTGTACTCCCATTGTTCGCTTCTCTCTCTCATCCTTTCTCCACATTCCTCACACGCATGTGGCATACGGCATGGCAGGAGGGCAACCCAGAGGGGCAGGCGATGCTGCTGACGCGCATCACAGTGAAGGGGCGCCGCATAAGCGAGGCCGTCAGCCGCAAGGTATACGAGATCGTGTGGACGTAGCCCCGCCTCACCGCCAGCTTCTGAGCCATTAGCTTGTAATGGATACTCGTGTTTTGAAGTGTGTTGTTAGAGCCCTATTGTTGCATGTATAGTCAGCACTGGTGCCAGTCTAGTTGCATTGCACCATCCCACCAGAAACAAGGGCTTTCACGCCCTCACAGCACAACCTGCTAACCTGGCAGGATTAACTTAACTGTGCCCTAGCTGAATCGCCTGCACATGTTACAATGTGGCCACCCACGCCCTGGGTGCACTTATGCGTCCACAGTGCGGCGGTCCTCACATGTGCCGCACACACGAGCCCCGTTGCACGCCACGCAGTACCGCCACTTGTTCGCCACCCTGGGGGGCCCACACCCCACCCACCCACCCATCGCATGGCACGAGCAGAGTGGGAGTGAGATTGAGAGTGGGAGTGAGATCGAGAGTGGGAGTGAGATTGGGAGTGGGAGTGAGATTGGGAGTGGGAGTGAGATTGAGAGTGGGAGTAAGATTGAGAGTGGGAGTGAGATTGGGAGTGGGAGTGAGATTGAGAGTGGGAGTAAGATTGAAAGTGGGAGTGAGATTGGGAGTGGGAGTGAGATTGGGAGTGCGAGTGAGATTGGGAGTGGGAGTGAGATTGGGAGTGGGAGTGAGATTGGGAGTGGGAGTGAGATTGGGTGTGGGAGTGAGATTGGGTGTGGGAGTGAGATTGGGAGTGGGAGTGGATGGTTGGAGTGTGGTGCGAGTGCTGTGAGTGTGTGATCAGTGTGTGTGTGCATGGTTGGGTGCGATCCTCGCAAGTGTGGTGTGAAGCAACAGGACAGCGCGCACATGAGCACACCCACCCATCTATGCACGTCTCATAATCCGTCAGCTTTCGAGTCGACTCAAAAGTCATTTTAAGTTGACTCAAAAGTCCACCCACCCGTCTCTGCGCGTCTAATAATCCGTCAGCAGGGGGGTGGACAGGGTGGCAGGGGGTGAGCAGGGGGTGAGCAGGGGATGAGCACACTGCAAGCACCCACTGCCTGCCCCGTCACCCGCCCCCCTGCACCCTCACCCACTCCCTCACCCGCTCCATACATTCCCTTTCCTCTCTCTTTTCTTCCACCCCATCTCTTCCTCTCTCTCTTCTCCCCACAACACCCCCTTTTCTCCCCATCTCTTCCCTCTTTTCTTCCCCCAACACCCCCTCATCCCCCCCCCCTGTCACCTGGCGGAGGAGCGTTGGGCGGAGGGGGGGTTGGAGGCCAGCCCGCGGGAGGGCTGCCTTGCGCTCGCAGCTTTGGACACGAAGCCCTCGCCCTGGCACTCGCTGCAGATGCCGCTTCCTTTGCACGCCGCGCATGGCACCTGCTGGGGCCGTGGGTATGGTGCATCAGGCAGCCTAGATGGGAGGTTCAACACATCACATCACCTCACATCACATCACATCACATCACCTCACATCACATCACCTCACATCACATCACATCACCTCACCTCACATCACATCACCTCACATCACATCACCTCACGTCACATGACTTCACGTCACATCACATCACCTCACATCACATCACCTCACATCACATCACATCACCTCACCTCACCTCACATCACATCACATCACCTCACATCACATCACATCACATCACCTCACCTCACCTCACCTCACCTCACATCACCTCACATCACCTCACATCACCTCAAATCACATCACCTCACGTCACATCACATCACCTCACGTCACATCACCTCACGTCACATCACCTCACCTCACATCACCTCACATCACATCACCTCACATCACATCACATCACCTCACGTCACATCACATCACCTCACCTCACCTCACGTCACATCACCTCACGTCACATCACCCCACGTCACATCACATCACCTCACATCACATCACCTCACATCACATCACATCACCTCACCTCACATCACATCACCTCACCTCACATCACATCACCTCACATCACATCACCTCACGTCACATCACCTCACGTCACATCACCTCACCTCACATCACATCACATCACCTCACCTCACCTCACATCACCTCACATCACATCACATCACATCACCTCACATCACCTCACATCACCTCACATCACCTCAAATCACATCACCTCACGTCACATCACATCACCTCACATCACATCACCTCACGTCACATCACCTCTTGCACATCACATCACCTCACATCACATCACCTCACATCACATCACATCATCTCACCTCACATCACATCACCTCACATCACATCACCTCACATCACATCACCTCACATCACATCACCTCACCTCACATCACATCACCTCACATCACATCACCTCACATCACATCACCTCACATCACATCACCTCACCTCACATCACATCACCTCACCTCACATCACATCACCTCACCTCACCTCACATCACCTCACATCACATCATATCACCTCACATCACATCACCTCACATCACATCACCTCACTTCACATCACCTCACATCACATCACCTCACATCACCTCACATCACCTCACATCACCTCAAATCACATCACCTCACGTCACATCACATCACCTCACGTCACATCACATCACCTCACCTCACCTCACGTCACATCACCTCACGTCACATCACCTCACGTCACATCACATCACCTCACATGTCATCACCTCACATCACATCACATCACCTCACTGTTATAGTCACAATAGGCTTGAATGTGCCTAAAACGAAAGATAGAGAGCACAGACGGATTTCTGCACACCGGCTTCAAACGTTGATAGCGTTCTGCTCACAGCTGCAAATGACTTGATTCAAATTGGATCTGGAGCGTCTTTACGTCGTCTACAATTAGCAATTTAGATTGCACGATTTGATAAAGAATTGACGACACAGCGTCGGTTTGAACGAACGGTACTATGGCAGCCACTATAGTCTTAGAACACAAGATAGGAAGAGTTACGAGTTGGGAATGACTCCCAGCTCCTACAAACCCCAAGGGCCGAGGTACAGTGATGTGGAACAGTGCCACACTGTCCCCAACCACGAAGGGTCTCGAAACTACCCTTCACTAGGGCCTACACCAAGTGAAATGTTACACTACACAAAGTAATGTAACTATCTTCAATATCTTGAGGTGTACCCTTTTGGCAAGCTTCGAAATCACTTGAGGCTTGACACCAAGGCTCGGGCTCTTCATCACAAACTCATCCTTGAGTTCTTGATGGGTCTGCTGCACACACCTGCGACACGCCGAACGTTCGACACAGGACAAAATAGAAACCGCGCACGACAAAATAGAAACCGCGCGCGAGACACAAACGACCGCGTAACACGCGTCTAGCGATAACTCGCTATTGACTCGACACACACACTCGACATCATGACTCAACATTCACACACAATTATAAGCATGAAATATATATTATCCCATGCCCTCATACCATTCCATACACACACACATTCACGCACACGGACAACAAGCCGAGTGCAAACCGTAGGGTTGCACCAACAAACTCCCCCTCGGATTGTTGGCCTTAGGATATGTTGCTCTCTCAGTTCAGAGCCATCCCAGCCAGCTTGCAACACTTCCAATGCTGCTGCTCCACCAGCCTCTTGGTCATCATGTCAGCCGGCTGCCCCGTGGTCTTCACGTAGCGCAACTCAACTTCACCCGCGGTTACCATGCTCCTCGTCCAATGCCACTTCACCCTCATGTGCTTCGTGAGTCCATGCAACACAGGGTTCTTAGCAAGAGCAATGGCACCCTGGCTGTCACAGTACAATGGGGTAGGTCCTTGCTGCTCCTCCCCCAATTCAGCCAACAAACGCCGCTGCCACACAATCTCCCGTACGGCACGGAAGAGTGCCATGTACTCGGACTCCACCGAGCTCAAAGCTTGGTCAACCTGCTTCTTGCTCTCCTAAGCAGTTGGGCCTCCACCAACACAGCATATGAAGCCTCCCACACTTGTCATGTCCTCTGGTTCTGATGCATATGAAGCATCCGAGTAGGCGGTGAGGAACAAACGCCCGGGTTCAACACCATCCGCGCCCTTTTGGCGCCTTTGTGCCGCCGCCGAGTATTGCAGCCCAACGGTCGGTGTTTGGCCAAGATACTTGGCCACCCTCATTCCAGCTGCTACATGCTCCTCATTAGGGCATTGCACAACCCTAGCCAGCTGCCCGGTAGCAAACGCGACGTCCGGTCGGGTGTTTACCGCCGCATACATGAGGCTGCCCACCAACGAGTGAAATCGGCGCCTCTCCTCTTCACCAACGCTCTCCTCCTCTGGTCCCTTCACACACTTGAACCCAGAGGGAAAGGGTGTAGCCACATGGCCTTCACTCTGCCCAAAGTTGGTAGCCAATGCCTCCAGGTACTTTCGTTGATGCACCCGCATGCACCGCTTCTCCACATCTCGTTCGATGTGGAGCCCAAGGTAGAAGCTCACGTCACCAAGGGCCTTGCACTTGAACTTGTCTTGAAGCTTCAGCATCACCTCCTTCACAAGGTCAGAAGAGGGTGAGAAAATGAGGATGTCATCCACATAAACCACCATGAAACTCCTCTGCTCCCCCTCGCCAAGCATGAACAAGGAGTGATCGGCCGTTGAGGGAGTGAAGCCGATCCCCTCCAACACTTCGCGCAGCTTCATGTACCATTGCCTAGGGGCCTGCTTCAGCCCATAGAGGGCCTTCTTCAGCTTCCACACTCTGCCACTACCATCATCAAACCCCTCTGGCTGCGCCATAAAAATCTCCTCCTCAAGGATGACGTTAAGGAATGCCGTTACGATGTCCATTTGCTTTACTACCCATCCTTTGATGGCGGCTCCCGCGAATAGGGTTCGCAGCGTCGTCGGCTTCACCACAGGGGCAAACAGCTCCTTGAAGTCCACCTTCTCCTTCTGCTGGTACCCCTTGGCTACAAGCCTAGACTTGTAGCGCTCGATCTTGCCGTCGGCATCCGACTTGATTTTGAAGAGCCACTTGGACGTTATCGCCGTACGCCCCTCCGGTAGCTCCACCAATTCAAACGTGTCATTCTCCTCGATGCTCTTCAGCTCACTCTCCATGGCCTTCTTCCACTCCTCAGCATCACTACTCTCCAAAGCCTCCTTGAGAGTTGCTGGTTCTCCCGGCATCTCCACCGGAGAGAAGAACGCGAAGGCACACTCCTCGTAGTCACTCTCCTCGTCGTCTCCGACCATCATTGCCGCTCCGGCCAGGGCTGTCTTGCCCTGCTTTCCCGGCGCATCATAGGTCAGCCTATTAGGGGGTTGAACTCTCCTCTTCCCCCTTCCTTCCTCCTCAGCTGCAGGGACTTGAAGGCCTTGGCGTTGCTGCGGTGTGGCTCGAATCCGTGGAGCACTCGTAGTACGGGAAGGGAGTGACGGTGCACGCTCGCTCACTTGCTGCACCTCCTCCTCTTCTTCCTCTGCATCATTGGCCTCCTCTCCCCCATTCACAAGGGAGGATTGCCTTGTGGTTGTGCTGCCGCTGCTCAGCTCCAAAGGCAGCTCCACATGCTCCAAACCGGAACTCTTCACCTCCCCAAACCGCACGCCTATCTTCGCCTCATTCTCCGCCTTCCAATCCTTGTACATGAAGTTCTCCATGAACTTGCAGTCCCTGCTCACCAAGAACTTCTTGGTGAATGGGTCCCAAAGAAGCCATCCCTTGCTGTTTTGAGCCATGCCCAAGTGCACGGCCCACACCGCCTTGGCACCAAGCTTGTTGTGCCGAAGATGCTTAGGCACGAGCGCCATGCACATGCA